ACACACGCTCCAGAGGGCTCCTCTGGGAGCCCGCAGGAGGCCCCCGAGAGGCGCGCCCGAGCGCCCCAAGAGGACTCCGAAAGGCCCCCCTATGAGGCCTCACAAGCAGGTGCCGACGAGGCCCGCGTCCCGGTATTATTCTTTTGGCGCCTGGCATCTCTTTTAAAAATAGCAGATTACGAATAGTGTGTTGGGTCCAGCTCTGGCAACAGACTGAGTTCGGGCATCTAGATACTTGAGACTAGTACGCCTGATGATTCTATATGGGTTAGGTGTGCCTGTCAGCTCTGTAGCTGATCTACAGCTCCAGTTAAGTTAGAAAACCGGCAGCACCAACCAAGCCTTCAGTCGAGGCTCCGCAAGAGCATGACAGGGGAATGCTTCGTTGGCTCTGACGGGTTCCGTTGCGGCCGCAGCCCACAGGCCGGGCGCAGAGGTGAGCCGCTGGATCTGCCGCCCCCTGGGTTCACAGGGGGGCTCGGTTTTCTGGAGTATAAATCGCCTGTGGCTGGGCTCTCCAAACCTCCCCACCAGCTTTTCGGCATGCGTTGCTGGCCCACCATCTCCCATCTCCAAGACCGACCAGATCATCGAAGCAGCCCCCAAGACAGGTCAGAAGGAGCCCAAGACGGCCTCACATATCCCGAAGAGGGTATCAGATGGCTCAGAACGGTGCCAAAGTGGTCCAGGACGGCCCACGCGGGCCCCACAAGGCTTCCAAGACGGCTCCAGACGCCCCCCAGGAGGGCCCCCATTGGACCCCTAGGGCGCGACGATTATCGAAATGGTTTCCTAGAAACTGTGGCCTCCAGGCTTTTCGGTTCGAGGTGGGTCCATGGGGGCTTCGGAGGGCCCCAAGAACACCTCAAACGGTCTCAAGAGAGCCCCAACATTGCCCAAAGACGGCCACCAAGAGAGCCCCCAGATGAGCCCCCATGAAGGCCCATAACCCCCCAAGACGACGAAAAAGCTCCCAAGACGGCCTAAGAAAGCTCTGAGACGTCCCAAAAGCGACCCCAGATGTCTTCAAGATGTTCCAGGGGGGGCCCAAGAGAGTCTCATTACCCCAGCAGACCACCCTAAAAGCATGATACTAATGCTGCAGTGCGGATCTCGCATTCTCCCATAATCTGGGTGTATTCCAAATTTTGATAGTGGAACTGGGGGACCGTCAATGGTTGGTGAACGTGAACATCCTGTGCCTCTGCCGCGGTCTCCGGCCCTGGGAAATCCCTCTGCCCCTGCTGCACTTTCTAAGCCTGGGAGGCCTGGAGTGACGAGAGTCCCATCATCATGCCCTCTCTGGACCTGGGATACCTAGAATGACGGGGCCCCCTTGCCCATGCCGCGCTCTGGACAACGGAGAGCTGGAATGCTGAGAGCCACGCACCCCTGCCGCACCTTCTGGAGGTCAGAGGCCTGGACCTTTGTGAATCACGTGCGCTGGGGAGGCTCTCTGGGAGAAGAGCTGGGGTGGTGAGGATCCCGTGCCCTTGCAACACTTTCTGGACGTGGGAGACCTGGAACACTGAGAACCAAATACACCTGCCACGCTCTCTGGACCTGGGAGACGTGGACGTGTGAACATCCTCTGCCCATGTAGCATGTCTCCCAAGCCTACGCCCTTTTACACGTTCTGGGCTTGGAGCGCAAGGCTTTCTGGACCTGGGATGCACCCTCCTCGAGTTGGCACGCACGTAAAGCACCTGGCACCGAATGGAACGCACCATTGCGTGGAGCGGCCACTCACGGAGTGAACCTTGACAGGTTTGTGACACACCACTGCGTAGACATGGGACGCACCATCTTCGAACGGGCACGCGGAAACGCACGGCGCTGGCACTGCAGAAGCATCCAAGATAAAAGCAAGTGACCCCCCAAGGAGCGATCATGGGGGATCATGGGGAGCCTCTAGCGAGACGCTACGTTAGAGGTGGCCCCAAGAGGACCCTCCTCGGCGACAGAGGGTGGGGGTGACTCACCACAGGCGTGTTCGACAAAAGCTTACCAGCCACGTGTGGATTGGAGGAACAAGAAACAGCATAAACATAAACTTTTGGAGGTCCGTGCGGATTCATGGATCGGCGCTGGAGCCCCATGGCGGCGCCTCCGGCGCCGCCACTAGCGCGCTCCGCGCGCCAGGATTAAGTCGGGCATGTCCCCCTACAGGGGGATTTTGGACGAAAAATGCAAAATACACCAAAAAAGCCCCCAAAAGGCTAAACAATAGTCAAAAAATAGTCCCCAAACCATTTCTGGACTACTGTTTGATTATTTTTGCGGTATTTTTTATTTTTCGTCAAAAATCCCCCTGTAGGGGGACACGCCCGACTTCAGCGAAGGGGGCCTCTGTGGACATCCGCGCCTCATTATGACTTGGTTTCGACCAGATTTCGTCCAGATCTCGACCGCTCCTCTACAAAATTTCCGTCCAGATTGCAAAAGCCTTACGGCTGGCGCCGCCGACCCTGAAGGGGGACGTCGTCGACAACGGCGGCGGTGGCGGCGGCGACGACGACAACGCTGACGTGGGCCCGAGTCCTCAGGAATGCCTCTTGGGGTCTCTTGGGAAGGCTCTCGGGGGCCTCTGGGGGCGGAATTATGGGTTCTCTTGGGGGCCTCTTGGGGGCCTTCTCGGGTGTCCTGGGGGCCTCTTGTGGGCTTCTTGCGGCCTTTTCGGAACTTCTTAGGGCCTCCTGAGAGCTTCTCCGGGCCGAGGGCTCGAAATGTCCGTTCGGGTTCCCCGTCTGGGCACGCTCTTTGAGCCATCTTGGGGGCCTCTTGGGCCGTCTTGGATGCGTTTTGGGCTGTCTTGGGGTTCTTTTGGAATTTTTTGGAGCGCTCTTGGAAGCCTCTTGGGCCGTCTTGGGACGATCTTGAGGGCCTCGTCGACTGTCTTAGGGTGGCGGGAAGTAGAAAAAGCGAGGACGCCCAAATCTGTCAAAAACCTACGGGAAATCAATGATTTTTGCCTCTTGGGGCTCTCTCGGGAGTATCTTTGGAGGCCTCTTGGGGCCCCAATGGGCACCCTGTGGAAGAGTCTTGGAAGAAGAATTCCTGGGGACTTCTGTGGGCTTCTGGAACCGCGCGGGGGTTCCGGGACGGCGGGGGGTAAAACGTATCTGGGTGGCGAGCTCCCCCAGGAACCCCCTGGGACGGACCGCGATCAAAGGGAAGGGGCTTCCCTTCGATTCGATCACGACATTGCGAGGCTCTTCTCTCGCTGACAGGCATGAGGAGGGGTGCAGGGAAAGGGAGCGACGCAGACGACTGACTGACGGAGACGACGAGTCGAACAGACAAACCCCTCGCACACGCCGACGGGGTCGGCCGATTTCGTCCAGATTTCGTCCAAACGTCGCTCAAATCCGACGGCATATGGACGAAATCTCCCGAACAGCGAGGCACTCTAGAACCCCCCTTTGAGGCTCCCGGGAAGGACCACACAGGCGGCGGCGCCACTCGTGACGCGATCGCTCTCCTGCCCCGTGGCTGACTACCTACCAGACCACCCCAACCCCACCCGAAGACCCGAATTTCGGGTTGGAGGGGGGTAAGGGTTCCACATGTGTTTGTTCGATGTTTCCCGAACCCCCCCCCACTGGAAATCGAAGGTAAATCTGAGCCTTCGGGTTGGGTTGGGGTGGTTTGGTGGGTGGTGAGTGGCCGTCCTGCAGCTCCTGGGGCCTGGCCCCTCCCCCTGGCGTGCACCAGGGCCTCCGCCCGCTGCCTCCCGAGGCTTCTGGCCCCAGCGATCGTGCTGCTTTGAAGGGGCCACAGGACACACAAATAAATACGCACTAATAAAAATATTCCCTATATGTTCCCATATTTTCTGGGTTTTTGTCTTCCCCCCCCCACTTCCCATATTTTCTTATATTTTCTGGGGAATCGACGATTAATTGTGTCTGTGTGTTTCATTTCCTCCTGATGCCTGCGCGGCCTGCACCCGACCGAGTGTGGCACGCCAGGCGCCGAGCGGTGACCGAGCCTGTTATATCGGGAGCGGCCAAGAGGGGGGTGTCCAAGAGGGGGAGGTGCAGATCATGACCGGCGGCATGTGCGCGGCCCAGAGGGGGGGCCAGGGACGCCATGGAATGAGAAGAGGCGCCATGAAGTCTGAGGAAATATCATGGCCCCCGCCATGATATCCCCCCCCCTAGTCATCACCCCCCTCCTTGCCGCTCCCGATTATAGACCTCCGGCGTTGAGGAGCCGAGGCCGCGGCCCCGGCCCGCCTGCCTGGCGCCCTCCCCCTTCCTCCTGCCTCCTGCTCTATTGACCAGCCACGAACGTATCCCTATCCCTAAGATTGACACGCCAAAGGGCGATGACAATCTTAGGGATTCGCCCTCAAAAGATGAGGGAATCCCTAAGATTGGCATCGTGATGAGGAGGTACCCAGCATAGGGATAGGGATATGTTCCAGGCTGGTAATCTACGGCGGAGCCTTCCTCCACCCTACTGCTGTGGCCCAATTCGCGCTTCACTGCGTGCCGCTCCGCGCTACCCATCGCCCGAGGAGCCTGCCGACAGAACATGTGTGGATATGCAGAGGCTGACCAGAAAGGGATGGACATGCACGTGCTTGACAACGAACCTTCTCCCCCTCCCTCTGCCATACCCTTCAGAAACATTGGTGGAGCTGGCAAGCACATACATCCGGCAAGCCTAAATACACCGATGCAAACCATTCCATTCACAAGATGCTCTCAGAGGTCCTCCAGCCTATCAGGCGAATCTCGGGGACATGCTTCTTCCAGCGCGGTCAGGTTCTGAGTGCCATGCTGTGCGAGAGCCACCAGAGTTCATCCACATGCTGGACTGTGGAGTCGTTGGAGACGACATCATACACAAAGACAGACAGTCCCCGACCATTGCCATGAAATGCCGTTGGCGACGCTAGAACTGACATGCGGCAGGCACCGCTTCCCTCTGCAATACTGGCACTCCTCTGATATAGGCGAACATTCCTGCTTGGTCAAAACATGTGTGCTGTCTTTTCGGCGTCGCTCGAACGGCTGATCCTCACAAATGGGCAAGCCTGTAGCGCTACAGCATCAAGACGACTAAACGTGCAAGGGCATCGACAGGAAACAAATGCCGCCGACGGTGGAACTGGCGAGGAGCAGCCCAGAAGAGCACTGCCAGGCCGATCGTCCACGCATGCCCCTTGTGGCTGCGGGTGCGGCGGCTCACTGGCGTCACCGCCGGGAGCAGGCAAAGCGTGTTGCAAAGAAAACGCCTCACCAGCGAATAACAGCGAAAAGGTGTGCAAAACCGTCACCGCTTGCGCAAACCGCCCTAACTTCGAGAGAACCTGCCGCACGCTGCCATCGCGTCCTCACGGAGAGGGCCGTGCGATTCTCCGAAAAAGCTGCACAAGCCCGACCGAACCCCCTCTCCGGCGCGAAGCGCGCCCACGGCCCGACCTCTGCACACCTCGACTGCCCGTAAGAGCGACCCTGGGCAAGAGTGACCTCTGGTGCGCAGCTTTTGGGGAGGCGCGAGGGGGCCAAAGCCAAGCGCGCAGGCCGCTGCTATCGCATCGCATTCAGCGACTGGGGGGCCCAAGTGGGCCCGCCCCAAAAGTCACTCCAGCGAAGGGTCATCACTCTGACACGTAATCGAACACCAGGCTCGCCCCAGGCCGATCGCGCGCCGTCACGAGAGGTCCCCCCGCTCCCAGACCTCGCGCGCGTGGGCGAGGCCCATGAAGCGGACCTCCTCGTCGGCCGACGCGGGCCCGGCAGCCTCCCCCGCCGTGTCCGCGGCGACCATCCAGGGGTCGGCGCAGAGGGCCGCCGCCTCGCCGCGGGCCTCTGGCTCCGAGCTCAGCAGCCGCACGGCAAACGCCCGCGCGCTGGCCGACACCAGCGCCCAGGACCTGCTGTCGAACTCTATGGCTGGAGGGACAAAGAACGGCGTGAGCATAAACTTTCGGAGCTCCGCGCGGATGTCCTGGATCGGCGATGGGCCCCCCTGGCGGCGCCCCGGGCGCCGCTCCTGGCGCGCTCCCGGCGCCAAGGAGGGGGGCCCAGCGCCGATCCAAGAAACCCGCGCGGACCTCAAAAAGTTTATGGTTGTGTCGCTTTTTATTCTTCGAATGGCGTCGTGGACCCTGGACGGGGGAAAGAAGGGGTCGTGGCCCCCCAGGTAGCGGAAGGCCATCACGCCCAGCGCGAACAGGTCGGCCGCAAAGCCGAGCTCGCCCCTGTCGATCACCTCCGCGGGCACAAAGCCGTAGGACCCCTGCACGCCGTCCACGCGGACGACGCTCTGGCCGTCGGGGACCCTGGCGGAGAGGCCGAAATCCGACACCTGTGCAAGCATGCCGGCTTCGTCGAACTCGGTGAGGAACACGTTGGGGGGCTTGATGTCGCCGTGGACAATTCGGCGCCCGTGCAGGAAGGAGAGAGCAGAGAGGAGCTGCCGAGCGAGCTTCCTGACCTCGCCCTCCGCCACTGGTGAGTTCCTCGGCATGTAGCTCGCCAGGTCCCCAGCGGAGGCGAAGCGCGTCAGCAGGACGAGGTCGGTGCTGGTCTCCGTGAAGCACAGCATGGGCAGGATGTGCGGGTGGCTGTCCCCGAGGTCGGCAAGAACCGCCTGCTCTCTTCTAATCATCTTGACGCTGTCCTCGTCGCTGTCGAGAGCCACCGTCTTGACGGCCACGAGCATGTCGCTGCGGCTGCCGGCGCTGTTCACGGACACTGCCCTCCCCATCTGGACGCAGCTGTTGGACAAGCCGGCCGAGCCGTCGTAGATGGTGGTCATGCTGCCGTGGAAGGTCCAGTCGCCCACCCGCAGAAAGGCGGGGCTCGCGTCGCGGCCCAGCGGGGAAAACGTGGCGACGCTCACCGAGCTCTTGATGGACGAGACCCTGGCATCCCTCAGGGACTCGCAGCCGGAGAAGCCGGCGAGCCGAACCGGGAGCGCCTGCGGCGTGCGCCGCATCGAGCTCGCCAGGATCGCGGGGGAGGATCTCAGCGCGTGCTCCAGGCCGGCCGCCTCCGCCAGGGGCCGGTGCTCCGTCGAGGAGCGGTGGAGGTGGCTGCGCGCATCGGCCCGGCTGGCGGGCGCGTCGCGGGCTCGGCCGGCAAGACAGCCGGGATCGCCCCACGTGGCCTCGGCCGGTAGCCGGGTGTCCAACAGCATCCTGGGCGGCGGCGGCCAGCCAAGGCCCCCTCCGCTACGATGCCTGGGCAGGCGGGAAAGCTTGGGCAAGAAAGGGCACGGGCAGCGCAGGCCTGCCCATCCAGCAGAGCCATCGGATCCCAGCTGCCCAGGCCTGTCGGGGATGAGATGGAGTCGAATGTTGGACGGATGTCCAGAGGTTACCAGCCTCGAAGGAATCCCTATCCCTAAGACTGACACGCCAAAAGGCGATGACAATCTTAGAGAGAGCGTGATCCACCGCCGCTTTACTGTGGAAAATTGCCAACCTTTTCCTCCGGAACCCGGGGGTCGCCCCCCCACCCCCCCTCCGAAAATCCCCCCCCCCCCCTGCTTAGGAACCCCTTCCCCCCCCCCCCCTCGCCCCGGCAAAAACCCCCCCCTCCCCTAACCCCCTCCCCCCCCCCCCCCCCCCTCCCGCTCCGAAAACCGGGGGGGTCACTACCGGTTCGAAACCCCTTCCACCCCCCCCCCTCCCTCCGGATCCGGAAACCGGGGGGGTCACTACCTGAAGGCCCTGCGTAGTTAGTAACGGTTAGCGGAACTTCTAATTGTTATTAACGGAGTTATACCTAGTTAGGTTTGGCCAGTTTGAAATTGTTGTTTAATGTTTATGTTGTGTTTCTGCATCTCATGTAGTTGGAAATTGGGGCATCATGATTCGGCGCTTCGTCGATTTGGATCTGCTCAGGGGCCTTCAGATTTTTTATCGTCCTGGGGCAGACACGACGGTCCGCAGCGCATCATGCTAGCAACATCGCGATTTGTATTGTCTAACTGGCCAAATGCACGTGGATGTCGTTCTCTAGTTTCCTGTAAATCACAGGGCAGGACGTCAGCGAGGTCAGCGGCATATCAGAACAGGTCTGTATCATCTAACAAGATGTGTCTGGAAAACCTTCAGCGGCGTCACATGCCTTAGTTGCAAGCTGCTGGACAAGCACCTGCGACTCGCCATCGTAGCATTTCACGTGAAACCACACTTGCATTGCTGCATGCATCCCGCCCGACCCCAGAAGTACGATATCACCGCGCTTGATGCGGGCGAAAGAGAGAAAGGTAGAAAAGTGGGGTGAAAAAATCTTCATGGCTTCGAATGCTGGAGACGCTGTCTGCGTCCCAGGCACAATGCGTTTCAACGCATTCAGCAAAAAACGAACAAAAATAATGAAACGCAAGACAGTGAGTGAAAAAGCTTTCAGGCATATAAGTGCGAGGCAGACGGTACATCGAAGATTAAGAACAAAATAAAAAGGAGGTAAAAAAATTTTCCAAACAAAGAGCTTCTGTGTTGCTTTCGTTGGGTCGACTAAGCCAGGTGAAACACGCATGGTCTTTAAATCGTGCGCGTGCTGCGCAGTGAGTTGGACCATGAGAGCCTTCTCTGGCCCCTTCTTGCACATGTGGTATTTGGCGAAACGTTTTACGTTTTTGTGCTTGCGTTCCTGGACAAAGCAACTGAGCGACCCATGTTTTTCAAACATTTCTGGCAAATGTGTTGCCATATGGTGCTTATACACCCAATAGCTTTCACCATATGCGTCCTGATGGCACCGAATATGTTTCACGATCGCTGACTCTATCTGCGCGGTCGTGACTGGAAGCCGCCGCGCCGCCGTGATGATTATGTCAACGGCATCTTGCAATGCCAGCATACTTGCGATCTGGGGGGCCACTAGATCCGATGAAGGATGCATGGCAATTACTTGCCGAATATACCTGCACAAAACAGGCAACGCAGAGATCTCTTCTGAGGCACTTGCTTGGAGCTCACCAGTCTCCCATACAGTTGCGGCTGAGTGGTGTTTACTCGGCCACGTCCACTTCATGAAATACTCATGCAACTCCATTGCATCACACAAACACTTGAACTGCGCATGCCCTAAAAGAGCTTTTACTTCTCTGTCGAATATACCAGACACACAATAAATATGCATCCAGTCAAAGCAAATGAATGACGCAGGGAGATATCGCAAACCTGGGTCCAGCGCTATGTGTTCGGGGTGGAAGTTCCATCCTTTGTGCTGTGTGATGGTCGTGCACTGCCCCTCTGAAAACTCCCCCCGCTGATATTTATCCCAAGCGGGCCGAAGTCGTTCCAGGATCGCGATGATTGTCGCGTCATCGTTTCTGCGTATCTTTGACGCATCCAAGCACGCGTCTGTCACAAAGAAACCAGATACATCATATGTCAAATAATCAAACTTTCTATTCAAGACGTTGCGACATAACGCACAGGGTTTGGAACCAGCGTGCCCTTTGTTCATGTGTAGTTCCCGCAATGCCTCTTCGTCCCCTATGACGCACGACAGCTTCGCGACGATCGTCGCGTGCGACGTTGCGTCGCCGTTCTCTGACACGTCTAATGTAACGCCGCTCGTCTCAAAATTGAAACCACCAGCAGAATTAAAAAAAACTTCTTTGAGGGTCATCTTGATGCACTGCCCGATGCCACCCGGGATGTTTTTTATTTTTGCGCACCGCGCAGTGCTAAGCGTGAACCACGCATCTTCGTTGCCCAAGGACTCGTCGAACTCAGCGAACGACCAGTAAACAGCATCAACCCCCCGATAATCTTTCCCCTTCGCCAGGGGGTCTCGCGGTGAAATACCGTCGAAATATAAAATGATGTGCCACGGCGACGCCAAGCTGCATGGGTGCTCCTGAAGTGAGCGGCGAAACATCTCCCTGACTGGAGCGCTAGCCTTGCAGCAGGAATACAAAAATGGCCCAGGACAGCACACCCAGTTCTCGAAAGTTCCACCACTGACTAAAGGCGTGTCTATGCAACGCAAGACGTTCCCATATGCGTTCGACTCTTTGGCAATGATGTTTTCGTTTGCCCTGTATTGTGAGCTCCGTGAAATATTGTCGGGCAACCCTTGGTCTCGCACATATTTTAGGACACCCGACAGAGCACGCTGTGACAGGTATGAGCCCCTGTGGAGCTCCACCAGCGCCTCATCCGCCTTGCGTTTCCTGGCGGCGGACGCGGCCATGGTTTCAGCCCAAATGGCTACAGACTCGATAACGATGCCAATGCGCATCGTAGGATGCATGCGTCGCGTTATGGTAGGGGCACGCTGCATGATGCATCTGAATGCAGCGAGGCGATAGATCACAACAGAAGTGCACGTTGCATATCGATGCATATGGCATGATACGACGTCGCATCATAAGGACATGTAGGTGCATAGTGATGCATACGAAGTGCGACGGTAGCTCGCAAGAGAAAGGAGTGTTGCATATTGATGCATGCGACTTGCGATGAAAAGATCGCAACAGACTTGTGTTTTAGACATCATGGTGCAACGTCATACAAGCACGAGAGAGTTCGTCGATGTGGCGCCGCCCACCGCCGCGCTGCAGCTGCGATGCGAGCTCCCAGCCCTGCTGGTCCTCAACAACCCCCTGGTCCTCCCCCCCCCCGCGTCGAGCACCTAACACTTGGCGTCGATCCACGCCTGCGCCGCGCTCCAAGCCTCAATGCGATTCATCGTCGCATTGCGGTCGAAGCGGACGCGGCGATCTGCCCTCCCCACAACGGCCCTGAACACCTTCTGTGAAGGCTTGTAGATCACGTAGCCGCACCTGTACGGCGTGTTGCACTCGCACGTCGGCGGCTTGGGCAGCACGGCGGGCTTTGGCACGGCAGCCGCGGGTCGCCGCATGGCAGGGGGCCGCGCCTTCTTCATTGTCACAGCCCCCTCGGCGTCTTCGACGCCTGCCCCGCCCTCGGCGTCACCGACGCCTTCGCCAGTCGCGGAGGGGCGCTTCCTCGCCTTGGCGGTCTTGGCCTTCTTGGCGAGGAGCGCCCTGAGCTTCTCCTCCTCGTCGGTCAGGTCTGGCTCGGGCTCATCATCGCGCGGCTCATCGCGCGGCTCCTCGCGCGGCGGAAGCTTCGGCTCCTGCTGCTGCTCCTCGCGCGGCGGGAGCTTTGGCTTCGGGGGCTCCAGCTCCACGCGCGGCTGCGCAGGCGGCTCGGGCGGCCTGAGAGCCGCGGCCGCCGAGTTGGCGACGAGCGCCGCGCACAGCGGTGCACCGAACAGGGCCTGCATGACTTGCAACTGCCCGCCAGCCGTAGGGTCTGGGGCTGTCATTGGGGGCGCTGCAGCTGCAGGCGAGGTCTTCGCCGCGCAACGCCTGCTCGACTTCCTCGCGTAGTCTGGCGCGCGCGTCTGGATCTCCTCCAAGGCGGGCCCATCGTCCTTGTAAGCTGATTTCCACCACGGCTCAGCCGACATGTCCTCGATGCGGTCGAAGTTCCACACCGTGGCGTACCCAAGCGTGGACCAACCCTTGCACGTGATGGCCTTTGAGATGGCACCCTTCACCTCTCCGAGGAGCCTGAGCCAATCGCCCCCATGCCCCTTGCCGCTGCCCCACGCCACGAGCGCGGCCATCTTGCCCTTGGAGCTCTCGGAGAGCGCGTGGGCGCCGATCAGCTTGCACCGAGCGGCGACCAGGCGTATGCACGCCTTCTCACTCAGGTCGCCGCTCTTCAGCGATTTGATCTCGCTCGCCGTGAAGACCCTCGATGCAATGCTTATCTCTTGCCATTGCTTGGATCCGCCTGGCATTGACAACATGCCTGTCTTGGTCCCGACGCTCTGGCACAAGCGTGCGATGTTCTCTTGAGTCCAAGTGTTCAGCGAGTGCTCCCTGATTGTTTTCACCAAGGCTGTCGCCTCGTCAGTACTGATCTGTGACAGGTGGTTGATCTTCATGAGGAGGCTGTCGTACTGGTGCTGGGCCACGGCTGATGGGCACAGGCCACATGCGATTTGTGTCGATACCCACTCTGACATGTGCTGCAGTTCCGCGCGGAGGTTCGGAACCGTCGTCATAAGACGACAGTTCCGAACCTTCGCGCCTCGCGCCTCGCGATAGGTCGCGCCTCGCGAAAGATCGCGCCTCGCGATAGATCGCGATCGATCGCGATCGAGCCCAAACGGCTATGCGACGCGGGCCTGTGTGATCTATATTCGAAACGGGAACCCGACACCAACTGATGCCAACTTGCAATGCCCCACGCATCGAAGATTGGTTTCGGATGGCAGTGCGAGTCTACCACCTGCAACGGGTTGCATGCATCT